GTCACAACCACTCCCAATTGTCATGGAAAGGCACAAAAGGGATCTGGACCATCACTTCTCTCAGGTTATACTACTGCCTCCCTTTTTGGGACCCTCAGTTCTGTCTGTTTGGTTTTGTAATTTTATGTTTTCTGTCCTTCAAATTTGTCTCTATATTCATGAATATATGATCATCCTGCTCTGATTATTATTTTTTATTAGTTTTTTTTTGCACAAACTTTTTCCTGTAAACAGTTTTGACATCATCAAACAGTTATCTTAGTGTGAAGTGTGTGTTGTGGGGTTTCTCTCATGCAATATCAATTTTCCTATGAGTATGGATCTTGTGAGCATTAGTAGACTTCTTCACTGATCATGACTGGAGAGTGTGTGAAACACAGCCAATATCCACTGACTTGTCATAATTTACGCTGTTTCTCATGGTCACATTGTGAATTGGATATGATCTCGATTTAGGAAGTCATATGCAAAGACCTGAATCACACAGACAATTTAAAATGGAAGATGTTTCACAAGACAACAGATACTACAGTTCACACCTATTCAGGAGAGCAGTGGGTGCCTTAAGTACAATAATTCAATAGTATAGAATAATATATGCATCTTCTGTTTGGTTAATGTTGTGTGTACACATATTTTTGTGTTGTGTATGTGTCTGTGTGTTTCTGTGTGGTAGCTCCTTGCCACTGTGTGAAGGGAGTTAGGTATGTCCTTAGAAAACATTGGTTCTCTATAACAAATGATTTTGTCACATGTTAAGGACAAGTGTCATTATGGAACAAATTATGTCAACCATACTTGGTCTTCTCTTAATTGTGTCACTTAAGTGAAGTAGTTGGATACTAAGGTGCAAGACACTGGTGAGTCCCTAAGCTGAAGTATGGGCTTGAATAATATAAGACTCTGCTCACTGCATACGTGCTTTAACATGTGTCTGGCTTAATCAAGTGCAAGCTTATTTATGTGTAGGTATAGAGACATATTGTTCTGTTTCATTAAAATTTTAAGGAAAGTACACTGTACTTTCCATTTCCAATGTATCACAAACTAGTTCAGATGACTTTTTTCCTTTCCTCAGAGCAGTAATAATTGGAGCCAACAGTAAACAGAAACTTAAAGGAAAAAGGGAGAAAACATTTAAGAGACATAATTTATTTCTGACTTAGAAATTACTTCTAATTGCACTTTGACCAAGGTGGAGATCCCAGTATATTAGGAGAAAAGAGGCAACATTTAACTCAATCCTAGAGGAGCATCTGTTCGTCATGCTCTCATAGTGTTTCCCTGACTTATGTCCATGAATGGAAATGTGTCTGTTTTAGGACAACACACCAAGTCAAAATGTGCAAGACATGTATTCTCCTTGATCTTAAATTTAAAATCTTTTTCATAGAATCTACTGGTAAAAGCATGGTTAAAGAACGTATCTTTTCACTGGCCAGGCATATTCTTTACATAATCTCAGTGAGTCTCATGTGCCTTCTGCAGGTATGGAATTGATAGAGTTCAGTCAGGGACTAGATGGTACCATATATCTAAGAACCATGCAATTCAGATACCAGATTAATCTTGTAGAAACCTATTAGTCTACATGAAGTTACCAAAAATAATGAGAAAATTCAAGCAAATTAAAATAGTTGTAATTTGTTATGCTCACTGTGAATGAGAAGCACATGGTTTGTATAATTTGTCATCATTATGCTTCTGTCTATTTCTCTAAACTGATTACATTTAATTCTATCCCCATTTTTATTTCCTTCCTCCTATTCTGGGTTCCAGTCTGGTTTCTTTCTGCAGAGTGTTGACATACATTTCAGGATTGTGGTAAGACATTCATTAATTTACGAAGGAGGTGGTTATGCTGCAGAATTTCCTATTCAAAGAAGATCATTGCATCTTCTTCAGTTTAGGATTAGTTTCTCTTTAATCCCGTTTAGGACTTTTAAAATTAGGACTTTACTTCTAAGAGAGGAATTAGTGTTCATTAGAATCATATTGAAAAATATGCATAGGTTGTACAAACTGAAATTTGAAAATGGAAATTTAAGCAACACCATGGAGTTTCAGGGTAATCTACATTTCTGCACAGAGACATACATGTCAAACCACCCTGATTCTAGTAAATATCTTACTTGGTGCAAGAAAAAGACAAAAAATTTTTTTTGTCTAGTATTAAAGGAGGGTCTGAATAATTACTATGCAATGCATGTATAAAACATAGATAAACTGAGTATGTGTGCAGATTACTATGTAGTCAATGCCACTTCCAGAGAGTGTTCCATGAATTCCACTTATATTAAAATTAATAAAGTCCTGTTTCGCAAAGCAGCCTT